AACGGGGTCTCCGCGTCACCTTAGGCCTGGACAAAGCAGGAGACCTCGCTGTACGCGTCCTCGCAATCGTGGTACACGAGAGGGTTGTCCACGATGACATGTCCGCCCGCAAACCTGGCCGTGCCCTCGTTCGCGAACCTCGGGGCAACGTGACTCTCGTGGACCTCCTGCCACGCTTCGAGTCTGGCTCTGGGTTTCGGCGGCTCTCGTCCCGAAGGGTCGTACGGAGCGCTGCCGCTAACTTTCGCACAACCTTCTCGGCCTTCCTCCTGCGCGCAACCGCTGTTCAGAATCGGCAGAGCGCCTGAACCGAAATGGCCACAGACATCGGGCACCGTGAGAGGATGCACATTCGTGATGGCGCATTCGTGCTGAGTACAGAAAGAGTACACGGGAGCCGATTGTTTAAAACATAGAGAAGACAAGAGTATAGTAGAGTAGAGCAAGCTCGATTAGAGTAGAAGTACACACGGATAGACTAGGAATAGAATAGCGTAGAATCGAATAGGTCCGCTTTGATGGTAGAGTAGAACAAAGTAGATGGTATAATCGGGCGGATGGAGTACGGTCGGGTAGAAAAGAGTCGAGTACAGTAGAATAGAGTAGACCAGAGCAGATCAGGGTATAGAACAGCAACGAATAGAGTAGAACAATACTGGGATCATAATAGAATAGGGCACGGTGTAATACGTCAGGGTCGGGCAGGACAGGGTAGAGCAGGATAGAGTAGAGCGGAGTAGTGTAGAGCATGGGACGAAATCTTGTAGCGTGGTGTATAACAGAGAAGAGTGGGTTATGATAGGGGTATGATACAACAGGGCAGAAGGGGGTAAAGCAGCGTATAATAGAGGGGAGTATACGAGAGCAGACTCGGAGCAGATCAGGCTACAACATAATAGAATACGTTAGGGTGGAGTCGATCAGCTCAGGGTCTAACACTGTCGAATATAACAAGGGCGATGGCCGATCAGAGTCAGGCAGAACCGAATAGAGCAGAGTGGGACAGAGTGGAACAGAGTCCACCCCAATCCAGTTCGGTCTACTCCAGTCAAGTCCACTTCAGTCCTATGCAGCTCAGTCTTCTAAATCTAGTTGGAGTCTGCACTACCGGGTGATTGAGAACCTGGAGTCCCGGATGCAGAATTCCGAGGCCGCCTCCAGAATCCATTGTACAGGGGAGGCAAATACACGCGCAAGTAGAACCCAAAGCGGAATCCGATTCGAACCCTCTGGATCTGTCAGAACCCAACTGGAAGCACCTTGGGTGCTTCTAGCTCTGAGATCTGCCCCACTGAACTTGGAATCTAAATATAATCCACAACGGAAACTGGCTCGTAGCTTCAAACTGGAGAACAAGTAGAGCCCAAGTGTAATCAAATTGTAGCCGAGCACGCCTGAGAACCATGGGATCTATGAATGAGCTTCAAAAAAAGGAAGTCAGCTGGAACGGAGCAGCCAACATACCCAGAACATGTCGGTTGGATTTTGAATGGGACCCAATACCACTTGAGCAGATCCTAGCTACAGGGGGTACCACTTCGATCTGACTAAGAAGGCCAATCGGAAGTTAACAGGAGTGCCGCAGACCCCATATTCACAATAATTTAATTAAGGTAAATAGGAGCGCACTCCGAATCCAATCGGAACGTCACCGCGCCATCGCAGAATCCAGATTACATTGTCGGGACCACATGGTCACATCATCGCTTTGCTCTGGCGCCAACAGATGAAATTGTAGACCCCTGCGGGTGGGGGGGGCAGCAAAAAATCCCAGGCCACCCCCAGATTCCAGTGTACTTGGAATCCAACTAGAACCGAATCGGATACCAATTGGAATCCTCTGAATTTGCGGTCTCCATGGGAATATATTCCCCAATCAGAGCTTGCCTCTGCAGGGGTCTTCGCGGATGTATATATGGTTGGGTGAGGTGGGGCGCCGGTTTCGGCGGTACGCCCAGGTGCCTGGGTGCCCGGGTGCCAGGTGACCGGGCGAGGTTCGCCGCCGATTTCCGCGGTGCCCAGGTGCCCGGGAACTAAGGTCCCTGGGTGCCCGGGTGCCTTATAGCCCGATAGCCCTACTGTAGCCCTATAGCCCTATAGCCCTGTAACCCTACGGCCCTATTGCCCTATAGCCCTATAGCCCTATAGCCATATAGCCCTATAGCCCGATAGTCCCATAGCCTTATAGCCCGTCAGCCCTATAGCCCAATCGCCCTATAGCCCTGTAGCCCTGTAGCTCTATAGCTCTATAGCCTTATAGCCTTATAGCCTTATAGCCCGATAGCCCTATAGCTCTGTATGCCTATAGCCCCGTAGCCCTAAAGATATTATGATTGGGGTTGCTCCCTGGTATAATCTGCAATCAAAATGGGATACTTCATATCTGGGATCTGCCCAATTTAACTTGGAATCAAAAACACGAAAAAACGAACATGCAAGGATGACAAACCAAATAACGAAAGACGGAAAGACCAGGCAGGCAGGCAGAGACAAACACTCAAAAGGAAAAACGAACCAATCAAGAAAGCACGGAAAGAGCTTACGAAAGGCAGACATATCTCGTTGAATGAGGACGCCCAGAATCTTAGACGGCCAGAGGGCGTTTAGAATTCTAAGCCCCTCAGAGACCCCCAAGAGGCTCCCAGGAAGCCCCCAAGAGGCCTCAAGAGGGCCTCAAGAGGCCTCTTCTTCTTCCTCCTCCTCCTGCTCCTCCCCCTCCTCCTCCTTTCTCCTCCTCTCCCAAGTTTCCCCCAAGGGGTTCCACAACAGCCGGGGGAATACGTCGTCCAATACCTTGGCCAGATGTCGGCCCACCGAAGCCGTCTTCGATCCGCTGGCCCCTGTTGGCTTGCCACCAGGGGGTTCGAATGTCGTTGCTCCTCCTTACAAGCTCCCAGTGGGGTCCAGGCCGATCGCGCCGGCCCTGCGGAAAAGGTTGGACGCCCGAGTTATCCGGGGTAACTCGGGTCCGGGGTAACTCGGGCTTGGGTTCCCGAAGAACGAACCCGAGGTAGCCCTGACCCGAGTTACACCTGATGATTCGGGGCTCTGGACGCCCGAAATATCAGAGGTTAACTCGGGTCCGGGATAACTCGGGTTCGGATTCCCGAAGAACGAACCCGAGGTAGCCCTGACCCGAGTTACCCCTGATGATTCGGGGCTCTGGACGCCCGAAATATCCGGGATAACTCGGGTCCAGGATAACTCGGGTTCGGATTCCCGAAAAACGAACCCGAGTTAGCCCTGACCCGAGTTACCCCGGATGATTCGGGGCTCTTAAAAGAGGCCTCCCCTCGGCGTTCCGCCTTGTAAGGACCAGTGAACTTCCCAGGTCATCCGTCGTTCCGCTCCAGGCGTCCTCAAGAAGGCCTGCAAGACGGCCGAGATGGTCTCCAAGACGGCTGCGGTGGCCCCAGAGAGCACAAGGGGGTCCCAAGATGTCTCCGAGACCGGCCGAGATGCCCCCAAGATGTCCAAAGATGCCATCAATATCGCCCAAAAGGCCTCCAAGACGGCCCAAGAGGCCTCCAAGAGGACCTCCAGAAAAGGCCCGAAGATGCCTAGATCAGTGATTTCCTCTGGGTTGTTGAAGGAATGTGGCGTTTGCTCATTCTCGAGTTTCCGTTGGCCGAAGACCGCCCCATAGGCCACCCAGACGGGCCAGGAACGACCTCGGGCGCGAAAAGCCTCCCAAGGAAGCCCCCAGAAGGACTCCAAGAGGCCTCCAAGAGGCCTCCAGAATGCTCCCGGAAGCCCCCAGAGTGCCCCAAGAGGCTCCCAAGAGGCGTCCGCGTCCTCCTCCTCCTCCTCCTCCTCCTCCTCCTCCTCCTTTTGCATCCCTCTCCTCCTCGTCTCGCTCCCGCACGTGTTCCCTGAAGGGTTTCCACAACGGCTGGGGCAACACATAGTCCGACAGCTTGGCAGAGCTCTGGCCGCAACGTTCAGCCACATGGGCGATTCCAAAAGGCAGGGGGCGGCGGTGATTCGCCGTAGGTGTCCTCGATGACAAGTACCGCCTGATGGTAAGACGCTCACGACCAAAGCAACGATTCGACAACATGAAAACATCGTTGGCGATGCGCGTGCTTCAAAACATCGCGACCCACCCGTGGAAAATCGAGTGTTCCTCAATCCACCCACCAGGGAGGGGAAGAGGAGGATGAGAAGGAGCAGGAGCAGGAGGAGGAGGAAGGGGTTCCAGACCTGGAAGTCGTGATTGCATCCAGGGGACCGGAGAATTCTGTCACGAATCCTCCTTCTCCTCTTCCTCGTCCTCCCTCCTCCTCCTCCTCCTCCTCCTGCTCCTTCTCCTCCTCCTCCTCCTCCTCCTCCTCCTCCTCCTCCTCCTCCTCCTCCTCCTCCTCCTCCCCGTCCTCGATCATCACCCGAGATGCTGAATGAGGAGGCGGAGGAGAATAAGGAGGTGCACTGCCAACAATGGGGGAAGGGGGGGACCCAGGAAGGCGAACGCTGCGAGAGAGCGGGATCATGGAGAGTGCCCATCAAAGGAAAACCAGTAGCCAGTTGCACCCTGACGATGTTCCACACCCCGCCAGATGCCACCGACAGGGCACCGCCCAAGAGAAAACAACCCTCTGCTCCAGGCTGGGCCGAAGAACGACGGGCCTGGGTCTCCGCACGAGCAACGAGCCATCGCTGGGCCCATCCGGAAGGATGGGAAGGAGTATCTTACTGGATTTGGCTTCCACTGGGTGATGAGATCCGATGGCCAAATCAAAGGAAGGTTGGCCGCAACCCTGACGCCACACGAAGGCTTACGCGCACTGCATGCGACGCCCAGAAACGACAGGGGGGCCAGGAGGAAAAGGAGGAGGAGGGGGGGGAGGAGGAGGAGGAGGAGGAGGAGGAGGAGGAGGAGGAGGAGGAGGAGGAGGAGGAGGAGGAGGAGGAGGAGGAGGAGGAGGAGGAGGAGGAGAGGGAGGAGGAGAAGGAGGAGGAGAGGAGACAGGAGGAGGAGAAGAGAGTCCGCCGACGAGAGCCTCTCCTCTGGGCGCCGCACGATGCTCGGCAGCCGGCCGTGGACGTGCACCCTGCTGCTTGACCACTTGCCGAGCTGCAGCAGGACCTCGTCGTCGGGTCCGCCGCCGCCGGCGTCGTCATCCTCGCCGCCACCGTCGCGGATCGAAGACTCTGGATGTTTCTGGCCCCTCCCGGGCCCCTAGAGGCCTCTGAGCGCCCCTGGGGGCTTACGCGATCTTCTGGAGGCCTCTGGACGTCATCATCGTCGTCGTCGTCGTCGTCGCACTCGCCGTCGCCGTCGCCATCGCTGCCGTTGTCTTCGCCGCCGGCGGCGCAATCGCTGTCGCCCTCGCCGTCGACACAGCCTGGCCCTCGTCGTTCACAAGGCGCAGCCCGATCGTCGGGGTGACGCACACGACGTCCCCGTTGACCATCGGCTCAAGGTAAAACCTGGGGGGGGACCCTCACAGGAAAAGCACAAAACTTGGATTTATATGAATGGTATCTAGGATTTGAAGCACAGGCGGCCGTAAAAGGATGAAGAACAGGATGCGGAGGAACTGGGTGAAGAGACTGTGCTGTAAGCGTACACTGCAGAACATGTAAGTGGTGTGCGAGCAAGATTCAGCCGGCGGGGCCCCGATCCGGAATTATGGTGCGGGAATGACTCGGCTGGCCGGGCCCCGATACAGCATCTTGTGCGGGATGGACTCGGACGGCGGGAAGCCGTGATCTGGCTGATCTGGCGACGGTGCGCGTCGATGTTTGCACGAGAGCTGGACCTGTCGTGAATCCACGCGCCTTGAACCACGTTTGCATCTTCCTCGAAATGGGAGCGATGAGGTGGACCACTGCAAACCCGAGACGCAGTAACAATACTGCAACAAACCCTCCCTCCAAGTTCAATCTTCGTAATCCCCTACAAGCGTTCATCTTTACGGAAGGATGTGCCCCGTTGGAGATCAACCGTTTATAAAGATCTGGAGCTGCGCCAGAGCACCATTCCTGGTCAGCGCCGCGAATGACCGTTCCTGCTGCCTCTTGACGATACGGAGTCGTGCCACAACGCCAGTCCTGGGACTTCAATCAAGGGCAGAAAAAAACGCCCCTACCCTGGTTTACGAGGCGCTGTGCGCTGAAACTCCTGTGGGCTGACAGGGTAAACCCTGCGTAATTTGCTGCGCCCTGGCGGCTCTAGACTTTGGGGGTTCCCAGGAGGTTTACAGACCACGCACTTGTAACCCAGGGTAGGGTCGTTTTTTTCATCCCTCAATTCAACACCGCGGATCAACGTTACTGCTGCGCCCTGACGCTCCGACATCGCACCAGAACCACATGTTTAGGACGTTGGCCATGATGACCCTTGAAGCTGCTGCAGATTCCTAAAACGAATGTGCACGGCGCAACGGCGAAAACCACAGTTTGAAAACCACCCGCCCCCCATCCGCGAATCTGTTACAAATTTTCAGAACCGGTGCGCGAGGCGCTCATGCAAGAGCCACATTGTTGGAACCCAACCGCCCTACATCTGTGAAGCTGCTGCAAGCTTCTACATCGAGTGCGCGCGGCGCTCATGCGAGAGCCGGATTCTGAAAAACAATCCGCCCTCCACCTGTGAGGCTCTGGCGAACTAAACTTTTAAGACGAGTGCGCGCAGCGGTCAGGCGAGAACCACCTTCTGAGAGCGAGGAGCCTTCCAGCCGCGAAGACGCTGCGGCGTCAAAGCTTCAGGAGCATAAAAGCGGTGAGGAAGATGCCAGCGACACGTCTGGCCCGCCTTTTCGACCGGCCCCGGGGTGCGATAGGGATGATTTTTTGAGGGAGAAGGGTGGAAGCGAACTCTTCACTGGGAGCTGTGGCGGGCAAACAACTCGCGCTACGAAACGCAGCTGGTCAACCAACAACTCGCGCGCGACGAGATAATCGCTGAGACGATGTTTAACCTCAGCGCCCCGATCAAGGAGAAAGCTCAGCACACAGAAATGCCCAAAAGGGGGAGAGGGGAAGAGAGGAGGAGGAGGAGGAGGAGGAGGAGGAGGAGGAGGAGGAGGAGGAGGAGGAGGAGGAGGAGGAGGAGGAGGGGAAGAACAGTAGGAGGAGGAGGAGGAGGAGGAGGAGGAGGAGGAGGAGGGGGAGGAGAGGGAAGAGAGGGAGGAGGAGAAGGCTGATACGAAAATGCCCCAACTTCGTATCATCTACCACTGTGCATGCGCGGACATACCCAAGTGGCCTGATCAGCCGATAAACTAACATCACAAACAATAGCTCGTGGGAGGCAGGGGAGGAGCAGAACGCGGACAAGGAGGAGCAAGGGGACGGAGGAGACAAACTGCACAAACATCTGCACGGAAACCCGAGTTCGTATCGGCCCAAGCCACGAGGCTGGAGGACCGAAAGCGCGACCGACTGCTTTGCGCAGCTACTGAAACCAAAAAGTGATACCGAGGGATTGACTAGCCCCAAAGGAAAGACGACCAGAGAGGGGGCAAGGAGGAGGAGGAGGAGGAGGAGGAGGACAAGGCGGAGGAAGGGAAGAAGGGAGGAACAAATATAACTTACCACGGATTGCGCTAGCTGCATCCTCCGCGACACAAGCTGTCTGAGCCTGGAGCTCCAGCGCTCGGGGGTGGGCGAGGACGCGACAAGCGGAGGACGCGGAGAGCAGGCCCACCCCAGCAGGGCTAGCCAGCGCTCCGCCTCCGGGAGCTGAAGCGAGAGGATAGAGACGAGGGGGAAGGGCAGCTCCAATCGGCAGCTGGCCGCCGCATGCCTCCCAGTCCATCGATCGCGAGACCGAAACAAGAGACGCGATAGCTTACACCACATCGCGTCGCAGTGTGTGGTGGCATGCCGTCTGTAACATATTTGCCCGCGCCCCTGGAGGCCATCCTTGGGCCCTTTGCTCCAAATCCCAATCTCTTGTGGCATTCCAGTCGCCGGCCTAAGCGCCCGACCGACCGGACAAACGACGAATTGCGATCGTTCCTGGCCTCCACTGGCAATCTAAACGGTCGCCGCGGCCGACCGAACGGAGAATCGACGAATTGCGATCGACGCAAGCTGCGGAAACCCCGACGCGGGGCGGAAAGTCGGGAAATCATTCGCAAATTCGCAATTTAACGGCCAAAATGCGGAACATGTTTTCTGGTCGCCTAGGCCCCTTGGCCCGAGAATGCGCAAGCACTAATCAAATATGCTGCTGATACTAATGCTACGGTCCCTGATGAGCACTGTTGCAGGGCCCCTACAAACGGATAAGGAGGAGGAAGAGGAGGACAGGACAGGACAGGACATCCGCACAAGGGGGTCAACGTCGACACGCGTGCAGAGGAGCTGGGGAGTAAGACTAGCAAAACCCCCTTGCGATAAGAGTATGCCGCAGACCCAGACGTCTCATGGGGGCCGGCAGGGGGCACACCCCGAAGCTCCAAGGGGCGAGATCCGAGGTAGCTCCGTAAGAGAGGCTCGCAGCCTTGTGAGTACGCGTCCCTACGGGCCAGTGCGGAGGAGCAGCTGTTGGCCCTCGCGCGCCCATGACGACGGGGACGTGCTGGGCGAGCAGGGCCCCCAAGCAGGGGGGAGGGCGACGACGCGACCTCACTCGACGCAGGGAAGAGAGGAGAGGTCGATGCACGAGGCCCCTTCGGGCCAAGCTTTGCTGGGGGGCCGAATTACATTAGATATGCCCACGACCTGCTGTGCCCACGCTCCTAACAGAGCCCCTCCCTGTCTAGGCTCACTTCTCTTCCTGGGCGTGCCGGCCGCAGGTTAAACCATGCAGTGTCGTGTCTGACGCAGTCCTGTGACGCAGCGCTCTGTATCCAAATTCTCTGTAGTATTCCAAGCGCACCTTGAAATGCCCCCTCCATTCGGCGTGTAGGTTGGGGCGAGCAAGCCTGTTGTTGTCACGGCGTGTAAGAGGCTTTCCCAATCTGTCATGCAGAACGCGCACCACTGCGGGGCCCTCAGGGATTATACTCCAGTAGCCTCTGCGGGGGTCTCGTTGCCCACTCGACACCCCCAGTGGCGGCGCACCTGTCGGCGCGCCAAAAAATGCAGAGACGCCGCTCTGCGCGAGCTCCTCTCCTGAGGGTCCTCGCGCCGAGATGTCCCCGCTAGTGGCAGTCCCTCTGGGCTCATCTGTCGCTGCCGGGGCTGCGCCGTCCTGTTTGCCTGGGATCGCGCTCCGAAATATCCCCGCCAACGCTCCGCCCGGCCGCGCAAGTAGGCGCCCTCGCGCGCGGCCGCTGGAGCTAGCCGCTTCAAATGACTCTTCGTGCATCTCGAAAATCTCGGTGCCGTCCAGCGGGGCGTTCGTGCTACCGCGGAGCTCCCGGCGTTTCTTGAGCCTCTCGACCTCCTGCTGCTCGAGATCCACCTATAACTTCAGCTCCATCATGGCTACCTCCATGACGCTCTGTCGGTTCTCCGCGTCGTTCTTCGAGATCCGCAGCGCGAGCTCGCAACAGCTGCGCGTCGAGAAGAGCTTCCCTCCTGTTGCTTCCCACATGCCAACTGGGCACTCTGCAATCAGCGCGAAGCCCTGGACTTGGCGCGTCATCGGGAAGGAAGGCGGGGTCAGCTCGCGCAGTTCCTCAGGGCTCATCTTCTGGGCCGCGTCGTAGAACTTGTAGCGGCCCCCTTTGCTGGCGTCGTCGAGCGCTTGCGGCAGCCTCTCAGCTACGAGCGCTTCCCACTTATCGCCTACCTCGAGCCATGGATGGCCCATCGCAGCGCGGGCGGCGCCCCGACTTGCAGCCGATCTCGGGCCACTTCTCGCAGTCATCGTTGAAGTCCTTCTTCATCTTGCCCACCCATTCTTTCGTGAGCTCGTCCTCGGGGCAGCTCCTGCGTCGTCAGGGGCGCCTTCCATGTCCTCTTTGCACCAGAACTTCCACTGCCCCCCCATCGAGGCAGCGCCGGGGCCTGTCAACCACATCGTGTTGGGGCAGGCCAGCCCGCGCGAGCAGGCGCAGTCCTTTCTTGCGCCCCAGCCTGCGTTCCTCCTGCGCGCGTTGAACAGCTGCATGTTGTCGCTCCACAAGTCCGCGAAGCCGAGCGCCTGGCGGTGCCGCGTCTGCTTCGCGTCCGTGCTCTTGCGCGTCTTGTAGACGCCGAGTCCATGCAGCTCATTCTCCTTCTCTTCCAGCTCTTGCTCGGCTGTCTTCAACGCTTCCTCGTCCGCCGCGCCCATGAGCATGCGCATGCGCAGCGCGATGTCGCGCTGTTCCGCGCGCTCCAGGGCGCCCGCCATATGGCCCCCTGCCTTGCTGAAGGCCGCAAAGACACCAGCGTTCTTCTTGGCGCCCTCCAGCGGGGCCATCAACGTCTCCTTGAACCGTTAGATGACCTTCTTGTTCCTCTGGTTGCGCGGTTTCTTCTCGGGCCCTCCCCATGCTTCGATGATCGCCTTCGCTGCCGCGATCTGCCCCGGGGATTAAGCCGCCCGC